AGTCCCCTCCTCCTGACCAGTCCCAGGAGACCGATTGGAAGGGAGCGGGCCTGGGGAGGGGTGTGTGTGTTGGGGGGGTGGTGGATGTGTTTGTGTGTCACGGGGGAGGGAGGAGAAAAGGGAGGGGAGAGCCCGGGAGCGAGGGAGAGAGAGCGCGCGGCGAGCGAGGAGGGCGGGCGGGAGGCGGATCCTCCTACCTGGGGCGCGCTCGTTCTCTCGCAGCTCGCTTGCCGGGGCCGCGAGTCACCTGGGGAGGCGGACAAGTGCGGACACATTGGCCGCGGCGGCGCTCGGCGAGGCGCGCACGGCCCCAGGCGGCTGCGCCCAGTAGAGGCAGCGCCCGCCCGCCCGCAGAGCTCGGGCCCGGCCCCCGCCGGCGGTCGTCTTGCCCTGCGATCTCTCAGCCCGGCTCCGAGGTCGCGGTTCCCGGCCCAGGTCGCCACCCGGGCGCACGCGGCGGCGGCGGCAGCGGCGCCCCGGGCTCACCATGGTGGCAGCGCGCGCCGAGTGCTCGCGCGTCGCCGGCCACCCGAGCCGCAGCGCTGGCTGAGAGCGGTTCACCGAAGCCCCCTGCCCTTGCCGGTTCCCCGCCCCGCCCGCGCGTCCCTTCCGGCCGCCGCTGTCTATGGCGCAGCCCCCCTCCCTGGATCATGCACAGAAACTTTCGCAAGTGGATTTTCTACGTGTTTCTCTGCTTTGGCGTCCTCTACGTGAAGCTCGGGTGAGTATCCCCGCGGGCAGGGGCCGTAGCCCCGGGTAGGGGCAGCCAGGAGGAGCCGGTTCCAGAGGGTCCCGGCGGAGACCTAGGGCCTGAGGAAGTACAGGAGGCTCTTGGGGATCCGGGGCTGGCCTGCGTGTCGGACCCTCGCCCCGGCCCAGCAGAGACGCCCTCAAACCCCACGAACGACAGGTACTCCCGAAGTGCGCTGAGTCCGGGGCCGGTGGAAGGGGAGCGGGGCGCGCAGGCGGCGGCGGCCAGGCTCGCGGGTAGCGGCGAGCGTGCCCGGCGCGTACTTTCACCTGTTTGGGCTCCAGGCCCTGGGGGTGGGACGCGCCTTCCCTCCCCCGGGCTGCGCTGGGCGCCGAGCCCGGGCCGAGCGCTCGCCGTCTGGAGGGCGCGCCGGGGCCAGGAGCCGGGGGCGTCGGGCGGCCGGGGAGGCCTGGGCGGGCGGGGGGCGAGCACCCGGGCCGCGAGCCCGCGGGGCCGGGGCACCTGCCGGGGCCCTTCGACCCTATCCATCACCCGGACGTGTTGAAATTGCCTTGACAACTCGTCCGGCTGGCTCGGGATGGGCCGCGCGGCGGGCCCGGCGCCTCGGGCTCGGTCCGGGGCCGAGCCCCCGCCCGCCCTGGGCCCTCGGCCCGGCCCCCTCTCGCCGCGCTCCCCCTCGCGCGGCCCGGCGGGCGGGCGGGCGCCCGGCGGGCCGCTCTCACTGCTCGCTGCAGTAGCTGCTCCGAGTCGTATTTCCACATTCCTGAACCCAGCCGAGTCCTTACCTGTTGGGCTGCGATCTCCTTTAGACAGAAGCTGTCTCGGCCCTGCTCGAAGTGGGGGTGGGGGGTCGATGTGACCGTGAAGGGGGGTGCGGTGCACCTCGCTGGGGGGGGGGGTCGCCCACGCCCGGGCCCAGCCGCGCCGTGCGCCCCTACTGTGCGCCAGTGGCGGCCTCTGGCCGGAGCACAGGCGGTGAACAGGCCGTGGGGAGGCGGAGACGCGGCGTCCCAGGCTGAGCGGTTAGAAGCACCACCTGAGAATCATCACCTCCGTCTATCGCCGGTCCCTCGGTCGCCCCCTCCACCATTTTATTGATGGGGAAACTGAGGCCCAGCGGGCAGGGACTGAGGCCTGGGACTGCAGAGGCAGGGCGAGAAGACCCCCCCTAGCCTCAGTTCGGCAGGCCTGGGCTGGTGAGCCTAGGGCTGCTGGTGGCTCTGTTTACTGTTGGTCCGTGCAGGCTGTGTTCTTGGGTGTTCCATATGGAGGTGAGGGAGCCGCACTGTCCCCCAGGGGCTGGGGGTTGGGAGGGAGGCACTGTGTCCCGAACCCAGCAGCACTGCAGTGTCTCTCCCTAGAGCCCCCAAAGTCATGGGCATATTGAGGCTCTCCCTGGTCCTCAGCACCAGGGCCTTGTCCGCTCCTGGCCATCCTAGAGTTAGGTCCCTGTTTTAAGGATCAGGAAACTGAGCAAGGGAGGCCAAGTCACTTGTCCCCAAGAGTAAGAGGCAGAGCTGGGACTGGCTCTGGCCTCCACCGCTGACCCCTCCTCCTAGCACCGGCACCCATTTCTCGCTCGACAGGACTCATCCAAAAGAACAGCCCTCCACCCCCCAGCTTGTGGGAAGCGCTCTAGGACCTTTCCCTCCCCACCCCAGGCAGCAAAAGGGGCTCAAGGTGGTGCCCATCCTGGGCTCCCAGGGCTGGTTGTGGAGCTGAGAGACCTATGTGATGGACCTACTGACCTCCAGACACAAAGCAGCTTCCCTCTCCGGTCTGTAAATGGGACTGCGGCTCTGGCCATCCTGAACACAGTGGTGGCCTGTGTCTGACTAGAGAGAGACAAGCGAGGGAGACCCAGCCTGTGTGCAGGCCTCTGTGGGAGCCAGCAAGAGAGCCAGATGCTGCCTTCTGCCTCCACTCAGGGACCCCAGGGTGGGCAGCTCCTCCCCCTGCTGTGCCGCCTAAAACACATGCTCCTGGGGGCAGAGGAGAAAACCAAGGCTCCAAACACCCTGCGGAACCACGTCCGGGAAAGCTAGGGAGCCACTGGGATCCACTGAGGAGAGCGGACTCCACCTGGGTCACTACACAGCCCCTGGCGGCCCACCTTGCTGGGTGGGCGTGGGGCGAGTGTGGCTTGCTGTCTTTGCAAGCCATCTTGGTTGCACAAGGGGGGGGGGGCAGTTGGGCCCAGATGTGACCAGAGGGGTTAATGACTTGGGAGTGAAGTACATCCAGAATAAGGTTTGGGCTTCATTCCTCCCCCTCACTCCTCATTGGTGGCTTTGGATGGGCGCTTTAATCTCCCAGTCTGCCTCCCTCATCCAAAAAGTGGGGCCACAGTAGCACGTCCTTCTAGTCCTTCTCGGGGTACTGCAAAGGAATGTCTGTCCTGGGTGCCTGTGCCCTGGGGGGAGAGGTGAGGCCCCAGTAAACACCTGTGCTCACCAGCCCAGTTGCCGTCTCTGTTAATGACCTTGGTATCACCACCCTGGGGACTCCTCCAGGTGGTGGATTTTAGGGCCACAGCAGTTCCAAGCCAATGTCAGAGATGCATGCACTGGGGCATGCACTGGGGGATACTCTGTGATCACGCCCTCCCCCCACCCAACCCACACGCGTGTGTGCATGTCTGTGAAGGCACACCGGGAACCTCCCCCACTTGTGCACAAGCAGCCAGCACACAGATGTGGAGCCCCTGAGGGAAGCTTCCAGACCAGCAGGGAGGGAGAACTGGGGCCTCACCACACCTTTGGGGATCAGGGCCCCAAGAGGAGGTTTGCCTCGGGTTTTGAGCAATTTCAAAACAAATGGCTTTGGGGAGTCACGGTTCCTCACTTTTGGACTGAACAGCCTCCAGCCCTCGGGGAGGCCAAGCCAGGGCAGGGACAAGCCATTGGAATCCAGGCACTCTCTGCCCACTGGAATTGGAGCAGGGGGATCAGACCTGCTCCATTCCCACCCTGGGAGAGGCAGAGGGGTCCCGAGGGATGAAGGTGAAGGGGGCAGCCCCCTGCTTCTGGATGCTGGGCGTGAATCTCCAGGCCAGGTCTAGAAGGTAGGAAATGCCCCATCGATGGACCACGGGCATATCCGCACAGACCTCTCGTCATCATCCCTGCCTTGTGCTCCGCCCCCGCGGACAGGGTCCGCACTGTCTCTGCAAGATCATCCATATATAGCTAGGCTTGGCACACAGCAGGAGGTGGGACTCAAAACCTCGAAATAAGAAGTGGGTTTCTAGCTTTTAAAAAAAATCACGGGAAGGAGGATTGTTTAGGAAGTGGGTCCTTGTGAATCTGCTCCTCCCTACACCTACCCCAGCCGACCCGACAAAGGAGAGCAAAAGAAGCGAGGGGGGAGCCAAATTTGGGGGTCTCGGTGAACCAATTAGGGGTGCCCTTTCACTGCCTCTCCAAAGAGGCGCCGAGGCAGAACCCTACAGAGACACCAGTGCGCATGTGCACAGGTGAGCCCTGCCCGGCCCGGCCTGGTTGGCTGGGGTGAGCGTGTGCGACTCGCAGCCCTCCTAACCGAACCCAGGGGCGCACGCGGGCGAAGGAGCAGCACCCACAGTGCGTCTGTGCGCACACACCTGCGTCCTCACAGACGCGCCCACGCTCCCGCGGGCACACGCAGGTACATGCAGGCACATGCATGCGAACGCGAGAACAGACTGCGGAGCACAGCCCCCCCAGGAGGAGCGCACGCCCCCGCGCAGTTACGCCGAGGTGCCTCCCCCCCAGGTGCACCTTCCAGAGCAGGCCGGAGCTGTGTGGTTCGCTGAAGCTGGGCGGGGAGGTGGGGGGATACGGGCCAAGGCAGTTTGGGCAAGCCCTGGGGGCGGCTCCTGTCGCACGCTCTGGTCAGCCTCCCCTTTAAAAAACCCGCCCGCAGAGGAGGCGGATGTAGGGGCGGCCCGTCCAATGGCAGCTGCGCGCCTCGAGAGACTTGGAGACTTGAGCCAGAGCGAGCGACAGAGCCGGTTCCGACCGATCGACGGACGGAGGGCCAGACAGCCGCCGAGGCGCACCCGCTGCCCGTCCCCTCGCTCCGCGCTCCAGCCCCAGCGCCCGCAGCGGCCCCAGCCCCAGCCCCAGCGCGATGCTCGGCCCTGGCGGCGGGGCACGGACGAATCCTGCGCTGGGGCCCGCGCGCCGGGGTCCCTAGCGCCCGGCGTCGCCGCCCCACCTCGGGGAGGGCCGCGGAGACCCCGGCCTCAACTGGCCCCGGCGCCCTGCCCGCAGGGCCCGCCAAGCCCTTCCAGGAGCGCCGGCCCACCATGCTCCTGCTGTCGCCGCGCGGCGCGCTCCTCTCCGTGTACTGCCCGCAGATCTTTCTCATCCTGTCCAGCGGCAGCTACCTGTGAGTGCCGCGGGCCGCGCGCGGGGCGGGCGGGGGTGGAAGAAGCCCTCTCTTCGGCCTCCCGCGCAGGAGCCAGGCGGGTAGGAAACTCGGCAGTGGAGTCTCTGGGCGGGGCACCGGGTGCCCGACGCGCTCGGTAGGCTGGGACTTTGGGTCTCTTCGTCTGCCTAAAGCGCCGAGGGGGAGGACTTGGGGGCGGCTGCAGCAGTGAGAAGTTACGGCTTTGGGGTCAGAGAGAACGTGGCTCGCCAGAGGCCCTTCTGCTCGGGTGGACCAGACTGCGCGCACCGAGCGCGACGGCGGGAGGGCGCGCGGCGGCGCGGGGATTCCCTGCGCTGTCCCACCGGAGTCCCGAACCAGCGGGATTCCCTTCCCTTTATAAATTCGCGGGGCCGGCCCGCCTGGGCCGCCCTCGAGAGAGAGCCGCACGCACACACCCGCTCCCCCGCGTACACACTGGCGCACACGTGCACTCTGCGCCCCACCAGACAGCGCCCGAGCTGTCCTTGGTAGTGGCTGCGGCTTCTCGCGCCTTCCCGCGGCGCTGAGCCGCCCGACCCAGCCACTGCCCACTCCTCACCTGGCGGCGAGGGGGACGCGCGCAGCGAGCCTGAGGTCGGCCGAGGTGCGCCCGGGTGTACCGGCCAAGGCAGCGCGCGGAGCGTGGGCGCGCGTGTGCGTCGGGACCGGCAGCGCCCACCGGGCTCCGGGAAGCTCCAGGCAGGGCCCGACCGGGCCCAGGGAGCCGAGGGGGCGCGTCGGCGCTGCAGTGGCTTCGCCCGATTCCTAATGGGACGCATATGCTCTGGCCTCCGATTTAAAAAGAAGTTTGATTTATGGAACCGCCGTTTGAGGGAATTTAAGCTGGATGCTACTGATTAAACCTCAGAGCTAGCTCTCCCTCCCCTTCTCTTCTCCCCTCCTCCTCCCCCTCCTTTACACGCGGGCCACGTCCGGGGTCGCCTAACGCGGCCAGAGGGGGCAGGCGCTGCCTTCCCGCTCCCTGCGCCACCCCCACTTCCCACGCGGCCGCAGTCCTAATAAATCGCCGTGCTCCCACCCCCTTTTAATAGAGGCGCAGCCAATTTCTCCTCCAACTCCTAGGAAATTACTATCCTACCAGTTTTCCTTCTATAAATAGTCGCGCATCTTGAAACAAAAGTTCGCAACCGCAGCCAGATGCTGCGAGGCCCGCGGTTTCCCGGGCTGTGGGACATAATTACAAGGTCCGGGCACAGAGAGTGCTCCAGGCCCGGCGGGCAGCCCGGCTGCAGAGGGATCGCCTGGGGAAGGTGGGAGGGGGGAGGACAGGCGGCCCCAGGCAGGGAAAGGGGCCGGATTGGGACCGACTGATCTTTGGGGAAATCAGGCTAGGAAAGCTCCAGACCAGAGAGTCCTGCTTCTGGCATCCCTCCTGGGAAATGAATCAACCAAGGGGGGCTTGGAATCCCAGCCTCTAGTTCTCAGAGGTCAGAGGTGGAAAGACTCCCCCTCCTGTGAACACCCCCTCCCATCTCAATCTTAAGCTAGACAATCAGCAGCTACTAGGCCTAAAGAAATCATTTTTGGAGCCAGCTGGCCGCGGTTTGGCCTTAATGGGGAGGTGTTCAGGGGTAGGACACCAGGAGAACTCTGGGGCTTGTCTAGAGTGGGTATCTGAGAGTAGGAGCTGGGCGACGGGCTCAGGAGCTGCAGAGAATGGCAGCGGCAGCCGTGAGGGGCTCTGGGGCAGGTGGTGGGCAGTGTGCGTGTGTAGACCCCAGGGTTTCCTTCCCGGTCGGCTCCCCCATCCAGGGCTGCCGCGATGCCCATCTGTGCCCCCATGGGCTTGCTCCCTGGGTGTTCATTGCCAGCTTTGTTGGGAGAAATTCTCCAAAGGCGACGGTTTTCCAAATGTTCCTGGGCCAGTGCTGGGTTCCAGGGTAGGGGGTTGGGGGCAGCAAAGCAGACCCTGCTCCCCGCCTTGCCTTCGGTGACCCCTGTTCAGCACCAGCCCACCTGACCTTCAGCCCCCGCCCCGGGGGGGAAGCCCTGATGCCAGGCTTTCCTGAGTGGAGATTCAGTTCGCTGTTCCCAGGAGCCAGGGTGGGAGCTCTGGGGTTTCGCCTGCCCCGTTTGGTGGGTACTGGGCTGGCCTGGAGGAGGCCGCAGGTGGGAGCAGGGCCCCCGGGATACAGAAGACAGTGAGAATGGCGGGCAGACCCTGGTGGGCGGCTCTGCGCTGGTGCCCAGATGCCGTTGACGGGGCCCGTGCAAAAGGGCTTTGAGAACTGTTGGGGGTCAACAGTAACCCCACCTCACTACCTGCGGGAATACTTAGGAAGGTTGGCCCTGTGGGATCGGAGGATGCCAGGGGCAGGAGGAGCCTGGGCGGAGGTTTCTTTCTGCTCCAGAGAACTTTCCAGAAGGCATCCCACTGCTGGGATCACAGACACTGGTGGACAATTGATCCTGCCCTTTTCATCTGGGCTGCTCTCCCAGCTCCCTGTCTTGGGCTGTGGTCCGTGCATAGTGAATCCCAGATGCATGCCTGGGCCCCTGCCACTGATTGGGTCGGACGGGTGTGCTGGCCTGGAAGGGCGCTGAGCCCCCGCCTGACGCTGAGCTTGGCTGGCCCTTGTGAGGCAGCTCCGGCCGGCCTTACCCTTCTCTGTGCTACTGTTGTCAGAACAGAAGCTTCCGGGACCAGTGGGGGGGGGGGGGGGGGGGGGTCAGTGAGGGCCTCAGGGAGGGCAGGTGGGGGCCACAGGCCCAGAAGAGGGCTGCGGTGCTGGTCAGCTGGGCTGGGGCCCTCGTGCCAGGACTAGGCTGCCCTCCTGTCCTGGGCAGGTCCCTTCCGGTCTTGGCCTCCCCCTCCCAGATGTGGAGGTTGGCTACTGTGATCCCCCCAGGTCTTCCGGTACGAGCCTCTCATGGTGACCGCCCGCTCTGGGGAGCTGAGTGAGTCATGGGTGACGGGGCGGTTACTCACCGACCACCTGGCTCTGGGGGGTGGTGGGGGGCGCTCACCACGGCCCTGCCAAGCCTGGGCCTCTTCCCGGCTCGGCCACTGTGGCTTTGTTGGTGGTGCCAACCGCAGGCCCAGAAACGCTGTGGGCATGACCCCGGGCGGCGGGCGTTGCTGAATCAGGCCCCCTCCCCGGGCAGTGAAGCCTGTGTGGCCGCAGAGCTGGGCTGCCCAGCTTAGCCTGCATAGGTTTCCACCAGGAGGAGCAGCTCCCAGCCTGCATCTGTCCAGGTGTGGGAGGTGCTCTGCTGTGTGGCCTCGGGCAGGTCCAGGAGCTTCTCTGGGCTGCGGCCTCCTCATCGGTGGCTGGGAGATGGAGATACTTCCTCTCCGCCGGCGCACGCGGGGCCTGCAAGCCATGTGGACTCCAAGGCACATGTGGCTCTGTGCAGCGGTGGGCACCACGGGTGAGCACCGGGAACTTCCGGGGACCCCTGTTCTGGCCTGCAGGAGTGGAGTTTCTCCCTCACAAAATGCTCCCGGAGCCCCACAATCAAAGGGGGGATGGTGCGCTCTGGGGATGACTTCTTTTGACCCTGTGTGTGTGGGAGTGTGCGCTTGAGTGCAGAGGAAGGGCCTGGAGGGGAAGGTGGTCCTCCTGGGCTTCCTCCAGGCCCCGCTGTGCCCTGCAGCTGCCCTGAGGCCCCACGGTGGGGAAAGGCTCATTTTCTGACCTAGTTTCCCTTGAGTCCTCCCTGCTCCAGGTTCCCATCCCTGCTCCTCCCCTAGCTGCCTGGTCGCATTCTGGAACTCGGCTTTGCCCTGGAGCTGCCAGGACTAGGGGGACTGAAACTTCTGTAGCTGTGAGGACTCGGTGAGCAAATGCAGAGACGTGGCCTGCAGGGTGCTTGGTATACAGTAAGTGCTCAGGAGATGGGGTCACTCTCAGCAGTTAGGTGCAGGGAGGCCGGCCACCTGGGATGCAAAGGGAGGCCTGGTGGCTGTAATTGTTCAGGGAAGAGTGTTGAACTCTCTGGGGGTGATCTCAGAGGGCTTCCTGGAGGAAGTGGCATGTTGATGAGCAGAGAGGCCCTCTTGAGGTCATAACCACCCTCCTGGCTCTGGAACTAGTTCTGCCACTGCCTCTGAGAAGCAATTCGCCCTGTGGTGGTCCAGCAGAGAAGGGAGTCCCTAGGGCCCTGTGGCCTCCTGGGGTGATCTGGGCAGGTACGCGGTGCTCTGCAGGGAGGGAACCACCATGAAGGGAGGTGACTTTTGAGGCCCTGACTACACAGTGTTTCCACGCTTGGGTCCTCTAGGGACGCTGTGGACGCTGACAAATCACACACCATGTTCCCCAGAGCCTCAGGCCGGCCTCGGGGCGGGGCGGGGGGCTGCATAGCCTATGGAGAACCCAGAACTCCTCCTGGGGGTTTGGGCCAAGGCTCTGTCGTCGGGCTAGCCTGGGCAGCACCCCATGGATGGTGGCAGCGGGGCAATAGGATGGGGCGGGGTGGGGTTCTTGGTTGTAGAGACTCAAGAGCCAGACCCTCCGGCAGCTCAGGTCTGGGGGTACCCAGAACAGGGCCCTTTTCTGTGCAGCCCATGGCCAGTCACTTAACCTCTGGAGGCCTCCCCCTGCCTGGGGCAGATGGAGGGACTTCGGCTAGTAGCCTCGGAGCTTCCATTTCGCATGGCCCTGGGTCTGGCTCAGATAGGGTTTAGCCCCCCCCCCACACCCCCCACCCTCTGACTCCCCCAGCAAGGGACAAGGGGCCGGGAGCTCTCTCTTGTCAGATGAAACCTCGACCCAGGGCTCCCTCAGCCTGATGAAAGGGTCATTGTGTGGTGCGGGCCGCCCGCTGGCCAAGGACAAAACCTCCGTTTGTCCTCCTTCCCTGGCGCGGGGCTGGGGCCTCCCCTTGGGCTGGCTAACGGGGTGGGGGTGGGCACAGGTGCGCTCTGTCCTCCCTTTCTCCATCTTTCCTGTCTCCATCACAGAGCTGCTCAGCCTGCTCGGGCGCCCTCCCGGTCCTGCCCTCAACACAGGGTG